CAAAAGTTAAGGTCTTTTTGTGGCGTCTTGCCCGGCACTGGCTACCCACAACCGACGTCCTCAGTCGAAGAAACATGGCCACTCGAGACACGTGCCCACTGTGTGGCTCCCCTGATTCCTGGAGGCACGCGCTCGTATCATGCTCTATGGCGCGCTGCACCTGGGCGTTGAGTGATTCAGAGCTGGTAGCGAAGATGGCAGACACCGGCGAGGCAAATGCTAAGCATTGGCTGTTCCACATGAGTGAGGAGGTGGATCACAGTTTATTCATAAAACTTGTTGTCACCCTATGGGCTATATGGTACGCCAGGAGGAAGGCCATCCACGAGGGGATTTTCCAATCCCCAATGCAAACCTCCAAGTTTGTTAACTCTTATATTGATGAGCTGCAGCAGCTTGAGAAATCTGTCAATTTACAGATGAGGACTGTAGCGACAAGTGGAGGGACAAGAAGCTGGCTAGCTCCACCAGTGGGGATGGTGAAAATCAATGTCGACGGAGCAGTCGCGCGACACAAGCGTGGAGGGGCAGTTTCTGCGGTGTGCTGAGACCAGAAGGGACTATATCTGGGTTCGTCGGCGGCAGTCTTTCGAGGCATTACTGATCCTACAACGCTGGAGACCTTCGCGTGCAGGGAGGCGTTGGCGTTGGCGCTGGATCTTCAGGTGTCTAACATTAAAGTTGCTTCAGACTGCAAGGGCGTGGTACTGGACATAAATGAAGGGACGGGTGGTCCACACTCAGCTATTGTTCATGAAATAGTGCAACGTAGGATCTCTTTTGAGTTAGTATCTTTTGTTTTTGAGAGTAGAAAAAACAACTTCGAGGCTCACAATCTCGCCAAGTTCGCCTGTAATTTAGATGTAGGTCGACATGTTTGGTTGGGACTCCCCCGTGACCAGACTAATGTACCTATGAATATTTCTATTATCTAATAAAGTGGTGAGATTTCTCAAAAAAAAGTTTACATTTTCGCTTTGCTACAACCATCCTAAACACATGCTAGTCAAGGATGCGAACGCAGGACCTCCTACTACAAGGAACGAGCTGATAGCCACTAAGACTAACAACCACTAAGACTAACAACCACTTCTGATTAATTAGCAGCGCCAAACCTTGAAAATAAAACTGAAACATTTTTTTTCTAAAAGAGTGAATATTTTCAAAACACGAATATTTTGCAGAAGTTGTGAAAAATAATTAAACTCGGACATTTTTGGAAATCTCAAACTTTTTTCAAATTATCAGCATTTTTTGAACGTGGACGTTCTTCGAAACACAAACAAATTTTAAGAGTAGGAGGTAACGTAGCAAACATTTATATAAAACACAAAATAATTTTGAATTTTTTTAACATTTATCAAAAACGCAAACTTTTTTTTAAACATGAGCATTTCTTGAAAACTAGCGGGTACTGTAGCAAACATTTATCTAAGACGACATTTTTATTTATCAGTTTTGGAAAAGTTGAACAATTTTGAAATTCTTAAAAAAAATTAAAACACGAACATTTTCAAGAATGTGGGAACATTTTTTGAGTTTTGAACAAATTTTAGAAAAGGAAGATAATTTAAATTTCTAAGCTTTTCTTACAATACTTGAACCAACTTTTCGAATCCTGGACATTTTTTGAAGAATTAAGTCTACAGAGGTGATGAGTACAAACCTTCTTCTGGCTCGATCTGATGACCACGTCCATATTCTTTTCCATTCCCTGGTTGTGAAAATACTGCTCTGCAAAGGGAAGATATAGGTAAACAATGAGATACAATTCATTTGCCTTATATTAACTCCACAGGAACACACTCTAGTGGTATTTTTATATAAAGGTATTTATGTTCCAAGGTTTAGCTTGCTACTCTGTATTTTGTTTTGCAGTACTTCTAAACACAACTTGTGTGATGCCTTCAACAGGCACCATCTTTTTCTTAAGATTTCTAACAAAAAATATGTATAAATATGAGAAGAAATCTTCAAGCCCAACACTGGCATGATAAGTGACAAATGCATCATATCTATCTATTCTGTGACCACATGCATGGTGAGATCAGGGGCTTATATATGCATGGCTGGTTAAACATGGCCCTTATATATCTTGGATGCAGATCCTCCAAAACTTTGACAGCCACAAGAAACAAGGCGGCTAGACACTGGTGAGGTCCACGATGTCACTACCGTGGCCCCTCCCACTCTCCCCCTCTCCAACGACAAGCCAGATAGATAGAGAGAGATTTTGCTCAATGAAACGTTGGGTCTATTACTACAGTAGATTATTGGTTGGTGAAGAACTGCATGTGTGGTACCTTGGCTTTATTATGCGGCCAAAGTACCATTAAAACGAATCCACCCACATACTCCTTCCGCCCTCGATGCTCGAAAATGAGACGAAAAAGTTTCCTCTGAAGTAGAAATGCGCAAAGTTTGACCAAATTTATAGGGTAACTATCAATAACAACAATACTACTCCCTCCATTGCTAAATATAAGTTTTTGTAGAGATTCCACTCGGTGGACTACATATAGAGCAAAATGAATGAATCTAAACTTAAAATGCATCTATATACATCCGTATGCGGTTTATAGTGAAATTTCTACAAAGACTTACATTTAGGAACGGAGGGAGTAGATACAAATGCTTTTCTACTCATAAAGTGTACAGTAGAAATGTTTGTCCAAAGAAGTAGTGTATACTCGCTCAAGCACAGTAGAAATATTTTTTCTACTGTGTGTGCGCAGACCAGTTGACAATTTGCCTTGGGAGAGGAAGTTGGAGCAGCTATATATATGCAAATATAGTGGCCAAGAATCCAAGGCATGCGTTGTATAGATAGAACTTGGAGCAGCCGGGCAAATGACAGGGACACAGAAGCACTCCTGCTTGCTTGCTGGTTACACCAACGGCAAGCAAAATATATACTCCTACCTACTTTGAAGGCATTTTATCAGAAACACGAACGAAAACACCATTTTTAGTAAGAAAACCGTAGCCAGGCCACATCTCCATCGTAAAACTCTTATCCTTTGGCTACACACACGTGAGGCCAGGCTCCATAGTCGTGGATTTGTTTAGATTATCTTACTTATCTGAGCGCAGCATGCATGTGAGGGCTGAGGACACACTGCATAAAATTCCAACAAAAAACGACGGATCTGTAAGCTATAGTAAGCAGTAATATGCATGCATCGATAATAATTGGGGTGAGTGAGTCATCAAAGAAACGAGTGTGGTGGGAGGCAAAAGACAAAGGGAGATCGACTCGTAGCGCATCAGGGTCCGTCTGCTAGCGATTTCTTTGCTCTCACCAGATATTATGAGATATGATTTGCTCTCGACATAAACGGAAAGCCTTGCTGTCAACAACAGGAATGGTTTTTTACGGCGCCATGAGGTGAGAGTCACAACACCAGGGCCACAAAAAGACTTGTCTTTTACTACAAAATATTGTTTATGTTTTCTTTCTTGTAATCCATCAGAGACAAAGACAACTAAAACAATGAGTTGGACATTCGGTGGTGCTGGAGGACATGCAGACTCATGGTGAGATGAGGGGCTTATCGCTGGCTGAATATGGGCCTTGTTTTGGATAATGGTCCTCCAAATCTTTGACACCCAAATATTGGACACACCATGATAAGTATATTCTTTTGTCTTCAGAGAGAGA